ATAACTGCAAACCTTGCAAGTCAGCCAGAAGAAACGCGTAAAGAGCAGATTGCCCATCCACGCGGACAAGTAAGACTGACAACTAATTTTCTTCTGAAATGCGGTTGGAGGACGATCTGTCCCCGTGAGCTCTGCTCACACGTGTTCCCGCGGAGGAGCGCTGCGGCGCCAGACTCCAGCAGACACGAGGACGTGTGAGCAGGTCGCCGTGCGCCGGGCAGGACTGGAGGGGTTGTCTATGCTCGGCAGGACAGGGATTAGAAGGTGAGCATAAAAAGCCAGGACAGTGCAGTCAAAATAACTTTGTGGGGTAAACTGCCATGCTTTGGCCCTCAGTGACCCATCACCAAAACGTCTAATGGAAACACTAAAATTGTGCGACTCGTTACAACCGATGTGAGCAGTCAGACATGGAAGCAACGAGAGAACCACAGAAAATATTGAAATGATAATAAGGAATAAAATTCACAGGGGAATTTGAGGCCTGTCATGTGGAGGTGAGTCTCACAGGCTTGCCTTATTAAACAATTCTTCACTACGACTTTTCAAAAAGTGTAGGTGATTTAGAAGACAGTTTTAAGATTTCAAGACTTGCCTATTCTACTTTTTCTTTAGATTTATTTTTATTTATGCACACAAGAGCTGGGGTACAGACCAGAGGAGGGGGGCGGTGAGAGGATCCGCCAGAGACAGAGTGGGGAGCAGAGCAGGCAGACTGATGAAATACACCGTTGAGGGGAGCAGCGGGGAGATGGGAGAGGTCTGCCTCGCCATGTGGGGAGCTCCCTGGCCGGGGATGGAACTCAGGCCACAGCAGCGACAGTGTGCTAGGCCACTGGGGAGGTCCCTATTCCATTTCTCACCAACACTGTGATGAAGATACCTGCCGGACGGGACAGGGAGGCAAAGATTTAAAAAGCTCCTAACGTGCAGATGTCTGTATTTGCCAAGGGAAAATCAAATCTTAAATTTACTTTTGGAGCTGAGAACAACGGAAAGGAGAATGGAATTTGAGTCAGAAAACCTGCAGCCCTCCCCCGAAATGTGGCTCCTCGGTGAACCCCGTAACGAGGTGTGTCGCAGCCTCCAGAGGCTTCTCCGGAGCATCACGAGGTGGTCCAGTGAAGACCAGTGATCACCAAGCCAGGACAGGTCCTTCCCTCCACCTACACGCCCCGGCGGCCGCTGCGCAGGTGATCAGAGGCCCTGCGGAACAGCAATAAACATGATGACCTTCAAAGTGTAACAGGGTGGTCCCCAGGAAAGGGGGAGGTTCCCTGCCCCACCCAAGGGAGGGTGGAGCTGAGCAGGAAGAGGAGAAGCTGCAGAAGAGACTGAGGAAGGAAGGAAGCAGGATGGAGCCAGGAGACCTGGAGGAGGCACATGGAGCCTAGAGACACGTGAAGAAACTGCGCTTGTCTTTTGGTCGTGGACGGGGTGACACAGATGTGGGTGAGACCCATGGGGAGGTGACCATGGCAGCTTTTATCTTGATGTTGATTTTGCTCTTTTCCTTCCGGGCTTGTCCGGTTGTTTGTGACCCTTTTCTGTGGGTCCCCACTTGAAGGTGCTTTAGACTTGGGGCAGGCTTTGGGGCCTTGCTCTGGGCCAATCCCATGTGGATGGACTTTTACCCACGAGGGGACGGGTAACTCTGGATGCTTCACTTAGAAACTAGACTCTTTGCCTTTCCTGTATTGTTTCCTAGTTTTATTAAAGTTCCTTCCCATTAAAGTCTCCTATGTTTTGTGTTGATGCGGCGGATGGCAGAACCCATTTAGAATAGGCAGGTTTGCGGGGTTTGGGCTGCCCCTCTCCCTGCCCTATAACAAAAGCACCACAAAAAAGCCACTTGTGCGTTCCCTTTAGACAGGCTCTTTCTTCTTTTTTTAAAAGAAGGTATTTATTGGGCCTCCCCGGTGGCGCAGCGGTTGAGCGCTGGGTTGCGAAGCTGCCCGCAGCCTCTGCAGCACCGGTTCGATCCCCGGCTGCTCCCCGGCCACCGGAGGAGGGTCCCATGTGGCGTGCAGACCTCTCCTGCCGCCCGCTGCTCCCCTCAGCAGTGTACTTCGGTCCTTCTGCCTGCTCTGCTCCCCGCTCTGGCTCTGGTGAATTCTCTCACCCTCCTGTGCTTCTGACTGTACCCAGCGCTTGTATAAATAAATAAATAAATAAATAAATAAATAAATAAATAAATAAATAAATAAATCTTTAAAAAAAAAAGAATTTAAAAAAAAAAAAAAAAGAAGGTATTTATTTTTACATATTTTTGTATTTATTTATGCAAGCACTGGGTACAGTCAGAAGCGCAGGAGGGTGAGAGAATCCACCAGAGCCAGAGCGGGGAGCAGAGCAGGCAGAAGGACCGAAGGACACTGCCGAGGGGAGCAGGGGGTGGCAGGAGAGGTCTGCGCGCCATGTGGGACTCTCGCTTGGAGGCCGGGGATCGAACCGGCGCTGCAGAGGCTGCAGGCAGCTTCGCCACCCAGCGCTCAACCGCTGCGCCACCGGGGAGGCCCGCAGCATTTTCTTTATAGATGTACAATTTCTGTCACTGTGGAGCAGACAGAGAAGAGACAGTCTCACAGCCCTGCCCTCTCCCCGTTCCGCATTTACCACAACACCCTGCTTGCTCTGGATGTTTTCAAGAGCTCTAGGAACCGCACTGTCCTGGCTTTTCCACCAGGTGTGACAGCCCCAGAAAATCACGATTATCAATATAGATCCTTCCCTCTTCACCTCTCGAAAGAAAAGGTAAATTTCGTTTCTACACCAGATTCCAAAGTGCTTATCTTACAGCCACCAGCACAGAGAACCTTAATCCTTATCAATTTATTCTAAGTTTCACTTCCTTAGCTCACAAATCTTATCAGGAATTTAACAGACTGGCTGAGTCACTTCTTTAAACCAAAATGCCCACTAAAATTCAGAGTTCGGTCTCCACCTTACTCCAGCCGGCAAGTCAGTCTGTGACCCAGCGCCGGGTGCGAGCTCTGTAAGGGGGGACACAGCAAAGCTTCAGGGTACACGTAGTATGCTCTTCAAACAAAAACCTGGTCTTGGGCCTCCCTGGTGGCGCAAGGGGTTAGGCGGTGCACTGTGAAGCTGTCCGCAGCCTCTGCAGCACGAATTTGATCCCTGGCTGGCCAGGGAGCTACCCACATGGCGCAGCAGACCTCTCCTGTCTCCCCGCTGCTCCCCTCAGCAGTGGGTTTCAGTCCGTCTGTCTGTTCTGCTCCCCGCTCTGTCTCTGGGGAGTCCTCTCACCCCCGCACCTCTGGCCTGCACCCCAGCTCTTGTGTGCATAAATAATCTTTGGGAAAAAAAAAAAAAAACAACCTGGTCTTAACCGTGTGAATTTTACCGCCGTACTTCAAACACGCAGTAAGTCAGGGCACTCTGCAGGCCAGCGGCGCCGAGGGAGCCCCGTGAACACAAAACAACGTGTGCGCGCCAGGAAAAAGGACGTTTTCACTTTTTGCAGGCCTGAAGCTTCTCTCTCGCAGCTCCAGCCGGGATACGCCGCCTGGGGGAGGGAGCAGCTCCCCGCGAGAATCCAGGAGCCTGCGGGTTTCCTGGAGACCGGTCAGCTCTGGGTCCCACCCCCGCGACCACGCGGTGGGCAGCGCTCCCGGCGCCGGAGGACGCGGCAGGCGGGCCAGGGGCGGCCCGGGAGAGAGAAGGGGCAGAAAGCGCACCCGGCCTGAGAAGGTCCCTGCCGGCCTTCGCCCACAGTTCCTGGCGCAGCGCTCCCCGAGCCTTGGGAGCTCCTGACCCACAAAGGCCCCTCCCTGCGGGCTTGGGGTGACTACCTGGAGCCACCCGAGGCCGGACGGCGGCCTGAAGAACCGGAGGACGCCAGCCGCTGAGCCGGCAGGTCCTGGGGTCGGCGCCCGAGCCAACCCCACAAATATTTTGGGCTCCACCCCCACCCAGGCCAGGGAGACCCCAGACACCACGGGCGGCAGACCCTGCAGTCACCCTCCCCGGGAGGCGCCGGGCGGGGCGGAGCCAGCAGCGGGGCTGGGCGTCCCCGCCATGCGGGCCTGGCGGCCACTTGCTTTTCCTCCAGCGCCCGGCGCGCGGGCCCAGCTCGGCAGGACAAACGGGCAGGCGCGTCCACGGGCGACCCCCCGTCCCCGTTCCCCGAGTTCTCAAACTCTTCACTCTCCCGTCAACACACCCCTCGCCGGCCTCTGCGCGCGCCGGCAGCCGCGTCCTCCCAGAGCCCCTCAGCGCGGGTGAGGACCCCCCGTCAGGCCACCCCTTTCAGATCGGGGTGCCCTGGAGCACCCCAGGAGGGCCCGGGCCGCAGCCGAGTCAGCGGCCCGCGACGACGAGGGAATCACACGCCCGCCGCGGAACGCGGCCGCAGAGCCCAGCCCGGCGGCGAGCCCCGCCCCGGCCCCCTGGCCGCGGCCACCCAGGGCCAGCGGGGGACCCCGGCCGGGGCGCAGCCCTGACGCGCGGGAGGCGGGGCCGTCGGCGGACGATTAGGCCACGCAGGCTCCGCTCCCGACGCGGCGGGGCCGGCGCTTCTCCCGCGGGCCGGGCCGGGGGGGCCGGGGGACCCCACACTCCGGCCGAGGAGCGGACACTTGCTGGCCGCCCCGCCCGCGCCCCCGTCCCGTCCCGTCCCGTCCCGTCCTCGGGCGTTCGCGGCCTGCGCGGCCGGAGAAGCCCGACCTCGGCGCGCGCGACGGGGCGGCCGGGCCGGGCAGCGCTGACACAGCCGCCCCCCCCGCCCGCCGGCGCCGCCCGGCTGCGGTCCAGGAAGGGCCGCCCGGCCCGGCCGGCCCGTCGGGTGGACGCGGGCGCCGCGCCCCTCCCGCCCCCCGCGCCCCGCGCCCCCCGCGCGCCCCCAAGGGAGGACGTGGCCGGGCCCGGCTCGCTGCTCGCGGCCCCCCGCGCCGGGCCCGACGGGGCGCAGCCCGCGCCCCGCACCCGGCCCGGCCCGCTCTGCCCCGGGGCCCCTCCCGCCCGCGCGGACGCGGCCTCACCTGCGCGCCGGCGCGGGGCTTGCCCGGGGGCGGCCGGCGGAAGAAGGAGGTCCGCGCGGTGAAGAAGAAGTCCTCGGCGTCCTCCTCCAGGCTGCTGTAGCCGCTGCTCATGCTGCCGCCGCGCGGCCCCGGCGCACAGCAGGGAGCCGCCCGCCCGCCCGCGAGGTGCCGCCGCTCGGCCCGCAGCCCCGCGCGCCCGCCGGCTCCGCGCCCGGCCCGGAACGCCCAGGCCCGGCGGGACACGCCCCTCCCGTCAGGACACGCCCCCGCCGTCGGGACACGCCCCTCCCGTCAGGACACGCCCCCGTCGTCGGGACACGCCCCTCCGTCAGGACACGCCCAGCCGTCGGGACACGCCCCTCCGTCAGGACACGCCCAGCCGTCGGGACACGCCCCTCCCGTCGGGACACGCCCCCGCGGGCGCGGCTCCCCCTCAGTGCCGGGACCCCGAGAGCGGGGTTCGCGGGCTGCCGGTGGGGGCGGCTGTGCTCGCGACGCCTCTCCGTCGGAAGCGGCGCCGGGCCGGGGCGAGCGGGTCCTTGCGGTCCCGCCCCGGGCCAGACCCGCCGGCGCCCCGCCCCACCGTGCGGTTCCGGGCGTCCGGCGCGGGGGGGGTGGGGGGAGGGGCCGCCGGGCCGCGCGGGTCGCTCGGGGAGTCCTTGGAGGACCCGGTCGCCCCGGGTCTCCCGCCGCCCGGCCCCGGCGAGGCTTCGCGGCCCGGAGCCCCAGTCGTCGGGCGGCGGGCGGAGCCGCCGCTTGTCGCCGACGGGGGTCGCTGGGTCTGTGCAGCGAAGACGCGAGGACGCGCCCCCGGGGCGCGGGGGTCAGTCTCAGGCTGTCGCTGCTGCGGCCTCAGTTCGATCCCCGGCCAGGAAGCTGCCCACGTGGCGCGGCAGACCCCTCCTGTCCCCCGCTGCACCCCTCAGCAGTGGACTTCAGTGGATCCGCCTGTTCTGCTCCCCACTCTGGGGAGTCCTCTCACCCCCACACCTCTGGCCTACACCCCAGTTCTCGTATGCATAAATAAATACATCTTTTTAAAAAAAAGATTTATTTTTATTTACTTACACATGCAAGAGCCAGGGTGTAGACCAGAGGTTTGGGGGTGAGAGGACTCCCCAGAGACAGAGTGGGGAGCAGAACAGGCGGATGCACTGAAATCCACTGCTGAGGGGAGCAGCAGGCGAGTCACTCAGGAGAGGTCTGCTGCACCACATGGGTGTGTCCCTGGCCGGGGATCGAACTCAGGCTGCAGAGGCTGTGGCCAGCTTCACAGCGCTGACGCTTAACCCCTTGCGCCACCAGGGAGGCGGCCAAGCAGGATACGTTCAGTAAGGCCCACATGGATGAAGAGAGGATCCTGGTGGAGACACCTGGAAATCTGCAAAGGCATTAAGAAAAACAAGGAAAAAAATACCACTCTATGCCTACAAATTTCTTTTCTCATGGGGATCTAAACAGAAAATGAGCAAAAATATTCCAAAGCAAAATCAGCTTAAGATTGAGGAGTCAAATAAAGTAATAACAGGATAAAAACTTTGAAGTTACAAGATTGGTAAATTTTAAAAATCCAATACTGCACAAACACACTGGGGCAAAAGATGTTCGCGGACAATTTCCACTTCTTATAAGCTAAATATAGGTTGGCTAAAAATTCTTATATTTCAACCAAGCTACAAAGATAAATATCTACTTTTTTTTTTTTAAGATTTATTTATTTATTTTATACAAGCACGGGGTACAGTCAGAAGCGCAGGAGGGTGAGAGAATCCACCAGAGCCAGAGCGGGGAGCAGAGCAGGCAGAAGGACCAAAGGACACTGCTGAGGGGAGCAGCGGGCGGCAGGAGAGGTCTGCGCGCCATGCGGGACCCTCGCCGGCTGGGGATCAAACCGGCGCTGCAGAGGCTGCGGGCAGCTTCACAGTGCGGCGCTCAGCCTGCTGCGCCACCAGGGAGGCCCAATATCCATCTACTTTTGAATAAGAACAGCAGGGAACTCTAACTTCCAGCAAATGAGAAAAAAAATTAACATTACATTCGAATCACTTTGGCAAGGTACAGGATTTACAAAGGGCATTTGAAACTAAAACTTAATTAGTTGGGTTTTTCTCAAATAGGTGGGGATTCTACTGAGTAAACATCTGTGTTTGCTTTGATTCCAGTACAGGTTTATTCATGCCCGATGAGGGAATCCTACAGGAAAAAAATCTGAAGCAATTGGAGGTGTATTTTGAAAAATCTACGCTGTTATTCCTAAGGCATCCACTCAGATAAGGGGGGAATCACTTCATTTATTACTGACGATTATGATTCCCCATGAAAGGGGATGTGGGGACCTTGACATGCAGCCCCTCAAGGGTCTCAGCTCCTCGGTGCAGCCGCTCACGATGGACAGAACCGCCTTCAGGCCCAACCGCATAGGCTTGAGCGCAGGTCAGATGATCTCAGAGAAAAAGCAGGGTTTTGCTGGCCAGGAACGATTCGCGGCAAGTGGGCCGGAAGTGCGTTCCGGTGGAGCCTATTCAGAGGGAATCGCCGTGCGAACTTTTAAATGAGAGTAAAGATTGTGTCTGTTCAGTCGGCCGGACACTGGACTGCCCAATATTTATTTTGATCAGCTCCTCCAGGTACTTTTGACTCTCCACCCACACACTCCTGCCGAGGGCTTTAGCTCTTCACTCCATTTTTGGAAATCGGTGGAGAGAACCTGTGCTCATTTGCCCCACGGTAGTTGCCGTTGCTGTGACCCCTTCAAGGAGGCACAACTCTCGCCTCTGAGCTCTCTGGAAGCAGAGCCGGCTGGAGGGGCGGGTGTCCTCAAAGCAGGAAGCGCGGCCCTCCCGTTGCAAGCTATGAAAGATGAAAGGGCATTTTGTGCAATTTTTGCCTGAGATTTCACCTCAGGAGGCTGGGAGGTGGGGAGACGGAGAAACACAGTGTCCCTGGCTGCACGTGGGACGAGTTTCACACGCACAAGGCCGCAGTCTGAGGGCCGGTCTTCAATACACTGTTCCTGCGCCAGAGCCCAGGACGTCGGGCCCGACTCTCTGTCCAGGAAGCTTTCAGCAAACAGAAGTGCTCGTGTGCACATGCAAGGAGGGCCTTCCAGAGAGACGGACCCTCCTCAGCAAATACAAATGGAAACGGTGCCTCTAGAATGTCCATGGAGGCCTCGCTGGTGGCCCAGGAGTCAGGCTCAGGCTGTCACCTCTATGGCCCGAGTCCATCCCCAGCCAGGGACCTGATCCACATGGCGCAGCAGACCCCTCCTGTCTCCCCGCTGCTCCCTCAGCAGTGGGTTTCAGTCGATCTGCCTGTTTTGCTCCCCACGCTGTCTCTGGGGAGTCCTCTCACCCCCTGCACCTCTGGCCTGCACCCCAGCTCTTGTGTGCATACATAAATAAACCTTTTTTAAAACATGAAAAATGGGCCTCCCCGGTGGCGCAGCGGTTGAGCGCTGGGTTGCGAAGCTGCCCGCGGCCTCTGAGGCGCCGGTTCGATCCCCGGCTGCTCCCCGGCCACTGGGTAAGGGTCCCACATGGCGCGCAGACCTCTCCTGCCGCCCGCTGCTCCCCTCAGCAGTGTCCTTCGGTCCTTCTGCCTGCTCTGCTCCCCGCTCTGGCTCTGGTGAATTCTCTCGCCCTCCCGCGCTTCTGACTGTACCCAGTGCTTGTATAAATAAATAAATTAAACCAAAAAAAAAAAATAATAAAATAAAACATGAAAAATGTGTGAAAATATAAAGATCAGGGAAGCGTGGTGAGATCTGCTGAGTCGTGGAGCAGGAGGAAGCCCCAGCCGGGCCCGTTCCCGTTGGGGGGGGGGGTTCTTCAGGAGCCGCCTGTCCTCAGGCCGAGGCCAGTGAAGTTGAGAAAAGATCAAATCAACGCTTGGGGAGAAACTGAGGAGGTAAAACTTGACCTGCCGGGAACTTGGGCGCTACCTCCCAGCCACGGGCGGCAAGAAGGAAACGTGAAGAAAGGTGCACTGGGAGGGGGCTGGGGCGGGGGCTGTGTCGTAACAGGGAGAACAGACAAACAGCTTGGCCGCCTCTTGTGAAACGTCCGTCCTGCGGCTCACGAGGACCCAGAGCAGGGGACGCGTGTGGGGGCGGGGGGGGGCACTGGGACACGTGACTCGAGATCCCAGAGTCATCTCAGTGGACTGCTGTGGTCACAAGCAGAGTAGGGGAGCAGGACCCCTCCCTCCGCTCTCCTGGGTCCCGCATCTGGGCCGCTGATGGGAGAAAGGGTTGATGGCGACACAGGCGAGGCTCTGCAGACCAGGCATGAACCCCAAAGAGTGTGCAGACGGGGTGGAGCCCAGGCTATGTCCTACTTTATCAAACGGAGGCAAAGGGGGTGATGGGCTTGGAGGGGCCTGGGAGAGGTTGTGGGGGTGACGGACACGTACCGTAAACAAGCTCTGTTGGCTGCGGTTTGTCAAGCAGATGCAAGTCCTCTCAGATGAAGAGTCACTCCTGTGAGGGGGAGGAGAGCGCCTTTGTGCGTGTAGTGCTACACCCTGTGGCCTAGTCCCCTGCCGGGGTCCAACTCGGGCCCAGGCCGCAGAGGTAACAGTGCAGACCCCTAGGCCACCAGGGAGGCCCATGCCTTAATTTTTTTTTAAAGGTTTATTTATGCTACAAGAACTGGGGTGCAGGCCAGAGGTGAGGGGGTGAGAGGATTTACCAGAGGCAGAGCGGGGAGCAGAACAGGCGGATCCACTGAAATCCACTGCTGAGGGATACAGGGGCGAGACAGGAGAGGTCTGTTGCGCCCTGTGGGTAGCTCCCTGGGGACTGAACTCATGCTGCAGCGGCTGCAACAGCTTCATCGTGCTGAGACTAACCCCTGCGCCCCCAGGGAGGCCCCCCTCACATTAAGTTTTATAATAAAAGTTTTTAAAGCAGCATAAGATGTGTATTTCTCCTAATTCCACTGACACGCAACCACCACCCCCTCACCCCAATTCAGACTCACCTGGGATCAGATCTGACTCCTGGGAAGACGCCGCTGAGAGCCCTTTCATCTTCTCAGCTCCTCACAAATCTTACAGATAGTGCTTTCCCGGCCCCGGACGCTGCTGTTAGCAGTTGCGCTTCCACACGGAGAAATTAACAGCAGGGCTGTAATCACGGCAGCCTGACCAGGCTTTTTGCTCAGGGCACTTTCTCACATTGCCATCTCAGCCTCCCCCACAGGCTCTGTAATTACTGCTCCTTCACACACCGGAAACTGAGTCCCGGGAAGCTGGGCGACACGTCCACGATGACCAGTCCTGACCCCGGGGCCCTTGGGGCCATTTCAACTATGTCCTACACATGATGTTAGAATTCACAGTTTAGCTCTTCCTCCGACGCTCTGGTTACACGGCACGCACATTAGAAGGTGACCTTAAAGCCCGAGTCTCTTTAGCAGGTTGAGGAGCCTCCACACAGCTCTCCGTCGTGGTGGGACCAGTGTGTACTCCCACCAGCAGTGCAGGAGGGTTCCTTTTTCTCCACACCCTCGCCAACATTTGTTGTTGCTAGTTTTTTTAATATGTGCCATTCTCACTGGTGTGAGATGGTATCTCATGGTAGTTTTGATTTGCATTTCCCTGATTGCAAGTGATGTTGAACATTTTTTCATATGCCTGTTGGCCATTTGCATTTCCTCTTTGGAGAAATTTCTTTTTAGCTCTTCTGCCCATTTTTTGACTGGATTATTTACGTTCTTTTTGTTGAGTGTCTTCAGCTCTTTGTAGATTTTTGTGATCAGTCCTTTATCATCAGTGTTGTGTGCAAAAATGTTCTCCCAGTCCAGTCGGTGGGGTGTCTCTTTGTTATGGTTACTGTCTCTTTTGCTGTGCAGAAGCTCTTTAGTTTGATGTAGTCCCAGCTGTTTATCTTTGCCTTCACTCTCACTGCTTTGGGTCAACCTGCTAAAGATGGAGCTTCCATAGGATCCAGCAATTCCACTCCTAGGTATTTACCCAAAGGACACAGAAACATCCATTCCAAAGGGCACCTGCACCCCTATGTTTAGAGCAGCACTGTTTACAATAGCTAAGCTTTGGAAACCGCCCAAATGCCCAAAAATAGATGACTGGTCAAGAAGATGTGGTCCATATGCACCATGGAATATTACTCAGCATTCAAAAAAGATAAACATATGCAGTTTGCAGCAACATGGATGGCGCTGGAAGGGATCATGCTCAGCAAAATAAGCCAGAAAGAAAAATACCGGATGGTCTCACTCATAGCAGGAATCTAGAAACCCTAAATAAGGGACCAGGAAAAAGAATAACTATAATAAAGTAAAAATCAAAACCAACAAGCAACTTTAAAACAGAGACAGACTACGGGGCGGGGGTGGGGGGGCGGGGGGCGGGGGAGGAGGGAGTAGGATCAAAACAAGGGGAGTGGGAATTGTCTGGGGACGTCTCACCAAGATGAAAATGCGTACATGGTGCAAAAATGAAGAATGATGCAAAAAATATATAAAATAAAATGAAAATGCTCAAAAAACACCCTCCAAACCCTACGTCTCATAGTTTCCTACGTAAAGGAGAGCCCAGAACTAGCTGAAAACTTGACTGTGGTGTGTGTGCTTGTCCAGCTGTCTCCCTCTTCAACACTGCTGTGAACCCAAGGTGTCCCTTCCTCTTTATTCCTCTGTGTTTAGAAGTCAGCTCCAGGCCCGTGTGCGCGCAGGAATCACAGCGTCATTGACCGTGGTCTGGCCTGTCCTGGCTCTGTTCCTTCCTAGAAAGAAGAATTAAGCTAAAAAATTAAAGCTTGCCAAAAAGTCACAGGGCCTCCCTGGTGGCCTGGGGTTAAGTCTGGGCACTGTCACCGCCAGGGCCTGAGTTCGATCCCCAGCCAGGGAGCTACCCAGAGGGCGCAGCAGACCCCTCCTGTCTCCCCGCTGCTCCCCTCAGCAGTGGATCTCAGTGGATCTGCCTGTTCTGCTCCCCACTCTGTCTCTGGGGAGTCCTCTCACCCCCGCACCTCTGGCCTGCACCCCAGCTCTTGCATGCATAAATAAATCTTTTCAAAAAAAGAAAAGAAATGGACTCTGAGAGGACTTTTCCTGACCCGTGTGTCTTTCCACAGAAATTCATAGAAAACATCACACTCGTGCAGACGGGGGGCCTTGAGGAGAGAGGAGAGAGGTAAGTGAAAGGTCCATGTCCATGCAGGGGGCCGGAATGCAAAAGCCTACCCTGAAGCCCACCTGGGGGCAGGAATGCGGACACCTGCCTGGAGGACTCAGACGCTGAGCCTCCCCCCGCCCCCTACGAGTCTCGTCTCAGACAAAGAACCTCTACCTGCCCCACAAACTTTTCCCGCCGGACGAGCCCAGCTTCCCACCCGACCTCTCCTCGCCCTATAAAACCCTGCTTCCCCCGACAACGCGCGCGCTCCACGGACCCCGCCTTGGGTCGTGAGGTCCGCCCGGGGCGCACTAAACTTTCCCTCCCTTTGAGAAATGTAGCCGGGCCTCCTTGTCTTCCCCGCGCCGAACCTTTCCGTCGGGAACTTTTCTTCCTTTCTTCTCGTTGAAGTCCGTCCAGCGGGCCAGGAAGCGCCGGGCAAGCGAGCGGGCGGGGCCGGGGCCGCGTGGAGGACACAGGAGCTGGGCCGGCTCCCTCCACCCGCTCCCGGCCTGGCTCTGCAAACAAAGGCTCCGCTTCCCTCTGGAGGAAAGAGGGAGTGAGAATAATTAAGTGTTCCGGGTGTGTTAGGTGGAAACGACCTGCCTTTCAGCGGTGGACCCCAGTGGGGATTTCGGTTTGAAAGTGCCGGGCGCGAGCAGGCGGCCCCGGGCTCGCTCTGTCTCTTCTGTTTCCCGAGTTTTGCTGCGACCCTGAGGTACAATCAGAGGAAGGAAACGCCTGAGATCTGAAGGTTTTAATTGCTGTGCGTGCAGATGGTTCCCATTACCGGCTCCCGGCCTGCAGGGCCGGGCTGCGCGGCCTGTGTGAGCGGGGAAGGGCCTGCAGCACCAGCTCGGGTCACAATGTGCATTTTACGCAGTGAGCGCGCAGGTGACCGGCACCCTTTCTGCAACAGGGTGGTCCCCAGGAAAGGGGGAGGTTGCCCCTCTCCCTGCCCTATAACATTTCCACCAGGCAAGACCCGGCCTGGGAGCGTCAGGAGGAAACGGAGTGGCCATGACCGGGAGGCGGGCAGGGAGGCCGCAGCCAGCACCAGGAGCCTTGCTGCCCCCTGGCCGGGCACGCGGGGCAGGTGGTGCCGGCAGACAGGAGGCAGAAGGGAGCAGCCTGTGCCCGGCGCCTGCGAGATCCCGTGGCGCTGAAGAGTCGGTGTCGGTGCGCGATGTAAACCTGGTTTCCCTCACCTGAGAGGGCCCTGGAGCTTCCACCTCATCAAGGATTCTTTTTCACTTCAGAACCAGCTCAAACAAAGCAATGCGCAGACTGTGCCTGAGGGAGGAGACATTTTGTTCCCCATCAGGGACAAAGCCTTCAGGCCTCACTCCCCGTCCCCAGGCTCCCCATTGCCTTGGGTGGAGAGTGGGGTGCAGGCGGGTCAGGATCTCCCCAGGGGTGAGAACTGCTGGTTTCCCCTGAACAAAGGGTACAGGCTCTTCCCTACAGGGTCTGTGCCGCTGGGTTAGCTCTGAGGGAGCGCCCCTGTGTTCCTAAGTGGCGAGGAGTTATATGGGAAGAGAATTAGAAATCTCTGTCTTTCTGCTTTTTTTTTTTTTGTGAACCTAAATAATAAAAAATACAATCTTAATTCAAAACAAAATAAGGCAGGGCCTCCCCTGGGGGCACAGGCGGTTGAGCGCCACACTGTGAAGCTGTCTGCAGCCTCTGCAGCGCGGGTTCCATCCCGGCTGGCCAGCGAGGGTCCCACATGGCGCGCAGACCTCTCCTGCCGCCCGCTGCTCCCCTCAGCAGTGTACTTCGGTCCTTCTGCCTGCTCTGCTCCCCGCTCTGGCTCTGGTGAATCTTCTCACCCTCCCGCGCATCTGGCCTGCACCCTGGTTCTTGTATAAATAAATAAATAAATCTTAAAAAAATGAATAAATAAAACAAAACAAGGCAGGGCCTCCCTGGTGGCGCAAAGGTTAAAGATAGCGCTATCAAGCTATCGCCAGCCACTGCGGCCTGAGTTCCATCCCCGGCCAGGGGGCAACCCACAGGGCGCAGCAGACCCCTCCTGTCTCCCCGCTGCTCCCCTCAGAGCAGTGGAATTCAGTGGATCTGCCTGTTCTGTTCCCCGCTCTGTCTCTGGGGAGTCCTCTCACCTCCCGCACCTCTGGCCTGCACCCCAGTTCTAAAATAAAACAAAACAAAGCAACGCAAAGCAAAGCAGATAAACAAAATCAAAGTGAGCAGCACAGGTCCTGGATCAATATCATTTAACTTAAGGTGATTTCATTATAACGTTGATGAGAAAACAAACCCCCCATTGGTGTTAAACTGAAAGGACATCGGCAAACAGAAGGACACTCTTCCGGGACCTGCTTCCCTCTACGTGGTTCCCCGGGAGGCCACCCCATCCCAGGCTTCCTGCCGTGTCCTTCCGTGTGGGCCCAGCCCGGGGTCGCTGGGTCCTCACAAGAAGACGGGCGTTTGGAGACAGAAGCTCAGAGAGGGGCTGTCATGTGGCAGAGACTGGTGAGGTGCAGCTCTAAGTCAAAGAATTAGATTCTCCCCGCCAGCAGGAGCTCTCGGAAGAGGAGTGCGAGGATCCTCCCCGGAGGCGCAGAGGAAGCCGGGCTGGCCGACATCCTGAATCCCAACTTCCAGTCCGGAGCTGTAGGACATTAAGTGTCTGTTGTTTTAAGCCGCCCCGTTGTGGGGGTTACAGCAGCCCCAGGAAACTGATACAATCCTTAAAACAACAATTTTGTTAAATGTGCAATTTTATTCTATTCCATTTTATTTTTCTGAAGATTTACTTTATTTATGCATACAAGAGCTGGGGTACAGGCCAGAGGTGTGGGGGGTGAGAGGATTCGCCAGAGCCAGAGCGGGGAGCAGAACAGGCAGAAGGACCGAAGGACACTGCTGAGGGGAGCAGAGGGAGACAGGAGGGGTCTGCTGCGCCCTGTGGGGAGCTCCCTGGCTGGGGATGGAACTGGTGCTGCAGAGGCTGTGGACAGCTTCACAGTGCGGTGCTTAACCCCTTGCGCCACCAGGGAGGCCCAAATTGTGCCTTTTTGATGGGGGACTAGCAAAATCTACCAGCCAGACAGTCATGTTGGAAAGTCTCCACCCCGCTCAGCTGCAGGGCGTTGCGAATGGGGCTGAAATGGTCAGTCTTTCGAGTTGAGCCATAACGGACATCGCGCGTCGTGCGGCTTCAGACGTACACAGGTTGATCTGAGGCACTTCCAGCCTGCGACGTAATTACCACCTTAGCCTTAGTTCTAGCACCTCCGCCAAGTCGTGTAATCATCATTTCTTTTTTGTGGTAAGAGTCTTTAAGATCCCGTCTCTTAGTGACTTTCAAGTGTGTAACACCACGCTCCGGGCTGTAATCACAGAGCTGCTCGAGCCCCAGAGCTTATTCATCTTCTAACTGCAGGCTTCTCCTCTGTGGCTGATATCTCTAGAACTGAAAGTTAATTGAGAATATTGGGATAAAAATCATCACGGGTAGGTTACAATTACATGTGGTAATGTCTGTTATTTAGGAAAAGGAAACTATAAGCGGAGCCAAACGCCATTAGCAAGCAATCTCTCATTAACGCTAGACCTGTGCTGTCTCATATTAAAATATTTTTTTACCCTTTTCCGGAATCTATAGAGGGTCATAGGTAAAGACTGGCTGTGCTGAGCATAGGGCACAAAACTAGGGCTTTTTGTGTTCTGGGTTTTCTTAGCTACTCCACATTTTATTTATTTATTTATTTTAAAGATTTATTTATTTATACAGACAAGAGCTGGGGTGCAGGCCAGAGGTGTGGGGGGTGAGAGGATTCCCCAGAGACCGGTGAGACCCGGGCGCCTGCCAAGAACTCGGCTTCCCCCCTGGTGGCGGCCACAGTTCAAGGAGTCTGAGGAGAAGAGCCCGGAGCGCGCCGGCGGCGGCAGCTCGTTTCTCCCGCAGCCCCTGCCCGAAGGCCGCCCGCCAGCCCGGGACCAGACGGGCCTCCCCGCGCCCCCGCCGCTCGCCCCGGGGAGCCCCCCAGGCCCGGCGGCCTCTCCTCGGGTGCGGGACTCGGGCCTCCGCCTCTGCAGCCGCCGCGAGGAAGCGCAGGGAGACCCGCCCAGAAACAAGGCGTCTGGGGGGACGTGCCCAGGGGCTCCCCCGTCCGGGGGTGACCCAGGGGTCGCCGGCCGCACCCTCTGCCTCGCGCCCCCCGG